CCCCAACCATTTGTGTTAATATAATGCCCACTCAATACAGTCATTATTGGGACCATTATACTTGGAAATACCTTTGCATTATAGTGCACTCACAGATGGAGACAAGGAGGGAAGGATGTTGGAATTTCTGGCATGATATTTAACAGATGTGATTTTTGCTCTAATTTTTGAAACTAGCTTGCTGTAGTTTAAGGCCCTTAAAGTAGGAATTCTCTTCAGACACTCATAACCGCAGTGAAATGTGTGTAGATTTTTTTCCTACATGGCAGGGGGTTGGACTAGATGACCCATGTGGTCTCTTTCAACTCTATGATTCTATGATTCTATGAAACATACTGGTCCAGATTGCTGCATCCACACCTGAATAAACCTGCAGAAACCTAAGAAGTTACACTTTATTTTTAACAAGGTTTTTTTGGTAATTACTTCTTTGTACTACAAAGCTGTCGATTCTTTCTTTCTTTCTTTCTTTCTCTCTCTCTCTCTCTCTCTCTCTCTCTCTCTCTCTCTCTCTCTTTCTTTCTTTCTTTCTTTCTTTCTTTCTTTCTTTCTTTCTTTCTTTCTCTTCCTTCTTTTCTCTTCTTTTTGCCTATAATGGCCAAGACTGTAATTCACTAATTTTTAAAGGGAATGTAACGGAGATTCTGAAAACCACCATGATGTATTAGTTAGATGGTGGATTATGACTCTGGAGATGAAGGCTTGATTCCTTACTTGGCCATGAAAACCATTGGTGACTTTGGATAAGGCAGAGACTCGCAGCTCTATAAAACCCATGATAGGTTCACCTTAGAGCCATCATAATTTAGTAATGACTTGAAGGCGCACAACAACAAACAGGGTTTCTTGTTAATCATTGCTGGGTGTATTCTCACTCAGTTTGAATAGTGAGATGGGAAGAGAGTATGTTACAGTGTACTACTTATTTGTGGATGTTGTGCAGCTAGTGATGAGGAACCAGCAACAACAGGGAAAAGCCAGCCAGAGGGGGGTGGAGGGCGGGGTGGAAATAGAGTAAGGCGATACACATATTGCAAGCATTTGCTACTCTACAAACTCGGATTTTTTATTTTTAAAAAAATCATTGTTTTTAAACGATGTCAGGGGAATAGAGTAAGGAGAAACACATATTCCAAGCATTTGCTACTCTACAAACTCAGGTTTCATTCTGGTCAGATGATTTAGGAGGAAAGGGGCTGAAAGAGTCCAATTAATACAAGTTTTTGAGTCTGAAGTATTATTTTCTGATTGACAGAATACTTGCGATTTTTTAAAAAAAGAAAATAATGTTTTTTAAAAGATGACCAATCTCTTTTTTCCAAATCATAGAATCATAGAGTTGGAAGAGATCTCGTGGACAAAGAGAGCAAGTGTTCGCATATGTGTGCATGCTCCTTTTCACAAGTTGGCCTCTCCAAACAGCAGCACAAGGTGTTGGTAGTGAGCTGTGTGAGATATCTTTGTGTTTAGAAAGGAAGGGATGTTTCTTTGCTTACCGGAGTCTGGCTTATATGATTTAAAATAATTGTTTGAGAAAGAGGGAGATGGGAAATGAAGACAGATTGAGTGAATCTGCCCTCACTCTCTCCCTAATTGATCTCTTCCACCCCACCACCCACTTCTGCACCCTGCACCCTGAAGGTGCAGCCATTGCTGCCCCTGTGTAGTAACCCCATTTTCCCTTCTCTTCTCCACTGCTGCAGTCAGAATTGCAATCTGGTCACCAGTGAATTAAGTGTCATCTGAAGAAAAATGTCTGAAACCAACAACCTGGCACTTTGTATGTGTTAAAGAAAAATTAATTTGTCATGTCTTTTGCACTTCCCACCTCTAAATTTCCAAGATGCAATGTGTGAAATGGCCACGTGGGGAGGTAGAGAGTCCCTTTATTTTATAATAGATCAAGAGTGAAATAATCCATTAGTAACGTGTAATCCATTGAAACATTTTCCAGTAACAGTTGATACTAACACTTGAACAAATAGAGTAATAAAGTAATGCTTCTTCTTAAAAGTATTTCTTCTTCTTCTTGATTATATACTTGTAAAATAGCTACTTCTGATATACTATGAAGGACACATGTCTACAAAAACAAGGGTCATAAATGCTTTAAAAATGATGGCTTTATAGGAATTTGGCATTCTAAATCCAAAAATGACCCCATCATATACAGTTTTTCACAATTGCTTTGACATTTTTATGTTGTAATATGTGACTGAATGTAATTAGTATTTAAATTAGTAATGAAATTTGAAATAACTACGTGTGGTACAATATTTTATTATGCCTTTTGAATCTATCAACCCCCACTCCACTACATCAAAAACAGCTACAATATCAGAAATTCATTTTTTTTCATCTCAGACTTGTGTAATAGATACAATTCATCATTTTATTTGTGCTACTCTTGTCTGCCTAGCAAACATGCACTGTATCTTTATAGTCTGAAATGATTTTTTAAAAAAGAGAATGGTGAATGGGAAGTAGAAGTGCCATTTCTTTGTTGGTGCCCATATATGTGCACTTCTTGTGCAAATTCATATCAATTCCTGGTGGCTTCTGTGTTAGAGGCAGTAAATCCAAGTATTACTTCAAACTTTAACAGAACTGTCCAAGGTGCTGAATTTTACCATCAAAATAGGTTCAGTTGGAACAGACATGTGCAAACTTTGGCCCCCCAGATGTTTTGGACTTCAGCTCCACAATTCCTAACAGCCTACTGGCTGTTAGGAATTGTGGGAGTTGAAGTCCAAAACACCTAGAGGGCCGAAGTCTGCCCATGCCGGAGTTAGAAGTTTACATTGGTTCATGTGCTCCAATTATTCCCTTGATTTTCTGCATCCTGCAGTGGTTTTTGCCTTTGGGGCGGTTCTGGGGATGCCTTAAAAATAGGTTAAGTTGATAGAATTGCCTTCAGGACTCAACAATTTCCCCAGGATCTCCAGAAATTAAATGTCCTCAAGGGTGGTGCTGGTGGATGTATCTTGTCTCTGGGGCACGTCCATTTAAATGCATACACATGAGGATGATGTTTAATGCAACATATAAGCTAACTTGTCATTTTATATGCTGGTCAGGATCCCTTTTGAATTGCTGATAATGGATTGCAAGGCAATTATTTTAATCTTGCACATCTATATCTGATAGAATTGGCATCCTCATGGTTTCTTAAAACAGTTGCACAGTAAATTAATCTAATTTGCAGTTGTGGCATGGATTTCTTATGTTTGGTGAATAATACTTTGGATAAGATTTGAAGTTCCCTTCTCCATGAAATGCTGAAATACATGCTAATAGTTGATATCATCATTACTATATTTTAGACCACTGACTAAAACACTCTTTGTTTGCCAGGTGTCTGTGTATGGTAAAATTCTATGCATGTCACTCACAAATCTCATTGTTTTGATTCTAGCAATGTTGAGTAACTTGTAGCCTTCCAGATTTTCTTGGACTTCAACTATCATCATCTTTTAGTATTGGCCATGCTGGTTAGGGCAGATAGAAGTTGCAGTTCAATTACAACTGCACAGCTATGACCTGGTTGCAACGTACTGCTCACAACTACACTACATCAAAGTAAATGGGATTCATTCATAAATGTTCACAGAAAGACCATGGCAAACCACCTCAAGAGTGCTTTGCCTAAGAAAACCCTGTGAAATTCATTGTGTCTCCATAAATTGACAGGCAATTTGAATGCATATACTTTAGTTTTAAATCCCTCCTACCATTGGCGCGATGGGCTAAACCCCTGAAGACCAACAGGTTGGAGGTTCGAATTCAGGGAGAGCACAGAAGAGCTCCTTCTATCAGCTCCAGCTCCCCATGCGGGAACATGAAAGAAGCCTCCCACAAGGATGGTAAAACATCAAAACATCCGGACATTCCCTGGGCAACACCCTTGCAGACGTCCAATTCTCTCACATGAGACGTGACTTGCAGTTCCTCAAGTCACTCAAGACATACACAAAAAACCCTCCAACTTTTAAAATCCACACAGAATTGCTGTTTAAGGGGAAAACCCTTTAAAGTGTGCAGAATCTGCTAACAATGTTATCATTTGCTATTGTTCTTTTTTCTCATCTTCACTACTACCATTGTTTTGATTCATATTTATATATTATTTTATTGTCAAATTATTATTCTGGTCAGATGATTTAGGAGGAAAGGGGCTGAAAGAGTCCAATTAATACAGGTTTTTGAATCTGAAGTAATATTTTCTGGTTGACAGGACACTTGAAATTTTACTCTGAGTGCCTTTCTCTTTAACTAATAGAAAAAGATATCACATAATGTGAAAAGAATTATTGGGTCACTAATTAATTTTCAATCATGTGTATTAGACCAGCATGTTCATTTTAATGATCTGGCTCACTATTTTGATTCCCTTCCTGAAAATAGATTTAAATATTTGCCAGCTCTGTCCGGGAGGAGTGTGTTTCTCAGGAAACTGCCAAGCTGATGGTGACTTTGCCAGTCAGGGGTTAAAAGAGGTCAAACAGCCAGAAGAGCAGAAACTTGTTGATTTTGATGATCTCTGTCATAGAACCTTCAGGACATAAAATGATTCAGGGTTGCATCAGCTTCAAAAGCGGGTTAGCATATGAGTTAAAAAAAGAAGTGTATGCCACTTTGCTGGTCCCAAGCTGGCTATGTGTGTGTTTGTATCTGTGTTTTTGTTTGTTTGTTTGTGTATGCATGGAAGGGAGGGAGACAGGGATAGCGTAAGAGAGAGAATCTGGGCCAGCAGCTCTTAGCTTATTGGCTTTGTTCTTTATTGGCTGGTTGTGTGCTCATGAGTGTTGGAACAGACCCCAAAATTAGGAATGCCTCTCACGTTTTCAAGACTGAAAGTAGAGCATACAAATCCTCCAAGTCTGTGCAACATGTCATGATTAATGACTCCAGATTTAAAGTGCTATCCCTGTGTTTCTTTCTCTTCAACCTTTTTAACTGCCTGATTTCCTTCTTTTTCTCTTTTTAAATGGCTCATACAGTGGGAAGAAGTCAGTGGCTACGACGAGAACCTCAACACAATCCGTACTTACCAAGTGTGCAACGTCTTTGAACCCAACCAGAATAATTGGCTTCTCACCACATTCATAAACCGAAGGGGCGCACATCGCATTTACACAGAGATGCGCTTTACTGTACGGGATTGTAGCAGCCTTCCCAATGTCCCTGGTTCCTGTAAGGAGACCTTCAACTTGTACTACTATGAAACAGACTCTGTTATCGCTACCAAGAAGTCTGCCTTCTGGACCGAGGCCCCCTACCTCAAAGTGGACACTATTGCTGCAGATGAGAGCTTCTCTCAGGTGGACTTTGGTGGTAGGTTGATGAAGGTGAACACAGAGGTGAGGAGTTTTGGTCCTCTCAATCGCAATGGCTTCTACCTTGCCTTCCAGGATTATGGGGCATGCATGTCACTGTTGTCAGTAAGGGTCTTCTTTAAGAAATGCCCCAGTGTGGTACAGAATTTTGCCATCTTTCCAGAGACTATGACAGGAGCAGAAAGCACATCTCTTGTGATTGCACGGGGCACATGTATTCCCAATGCTGAGGAGGTGGATGTGCCCATTAAACTGTACTGTAATGGTGATGGAGAGTGGATGGTTCCCATTGGGCGATGCACCTGCAAAGCTGGATATGAGCCTGAAAACAGTGTGGCCTGCAAAGGTAAGCGGATACTTTGTTGCAATGTAATTTGATAACCATTGCCTTCCTACCTGAAATACTTTCTAAAAGTCTTTGAGATGGAATAGTTTCCAAGTTTCTCTAAAGGAGCTGACTCAGAACTACATTCTATTGATTTTCCCTGGGGGATTACAAGTTTATATATCTTTGTTCTTCTTTGATATTGGTTGCTCTGAGCTTAATTCTCTCAGTGTCAGCTTGTCATGTGAGAAACTTTCTGAAAATCTGTCCCTGGGTCTTGGCTGTTTCCATGTTAATTTCATGCTCTGGATTCAGGATTGTGTCGACAATCCTCAATCATAGTAATGGCTCTCCTCATGGCAGGAGAATACAGGAAACATGCATATAATGCATATTGCTTCAATGCTTGAATAGGCTTTTCAGTTTTAAAGTTTGTGTAACTTTATTGTTTGAACTATAAGACTTCATTCATATTATTTTGTATTAATATTGAAGAACCAGTTTGATATCAAATGAACAAGTCCTCTGCCTGTCATCAATTCATAGCATATGGGAAACAGTACTGTGCATATCTAGTAACCTAGGTCAAAGTTTTAGTTTGAATATAGGCTTCTGCAAAAGCTGGGTTGCAGTTTGCATCTTTTTCCATATCTATTTGGTATATGGTTTGGAGGGCCAGATTTCTTGTGATCAGTATTTAAGAATGTAGCTACATGTATAAACATCTCTTTGCATGTTCATAAAACTCAAGAATGACTTCAGCTCTATCCAGGGGGAAGTGAACATAACAGAAAAATCTTAGCCAAGATTCTGTTCTGTGCAGAATAATAATACCTGTCTAACAGTATCAGACTCAGGGCAGTCTCTGTTGGAATGATCCTGTTGTGTCATGTTGTGACACGATGCTATTATGTCACTTGTTGTGTCAGGAGGGCTGACCTGCTGGCCTGCTTCACAGATACAATGGAGGAAATGAAGAACTCCATTAGCCATTCTGTAAATATCCTTATTGCTTTTATATTGCTCATTGAAAAAGAAGAAACTTTCCCTGTTCAAAATCTGGAGAATAAATACTAATTGGATATTGTGTTTTGTATTTCCCTTTATAGACACTGTATTTTTGGAGAAACAGAAGTTAATTAGGGAGTATTATTCTTTTGAATCTCATGAACTTTGCCCTTGTATACTGGTCAAAAGAGCTAATCTCAAAAATGAGAAATCTAATCCAGATGGTGGGAAAGCATGGCCTTTTCTATTTTGTCCAATGTTGACACTGGTATAGAAGGTGCTCAAAACAGATGGGGGGATCAAAATATGTAGAGCATACATTTGAGAAGGTTCAAGGGACATGATGCAAACTATCTCTGCAGATGTAAAGCTGCATACTAATGATATTTCACTGCCAATGAGTGCTGAGGCTAGAACAGCTATATGTGGCGCTCACTCTCTTCCATAACAGTAGGTTGGTGCATCTACTTCTAGTTTTTGTTTGAACTTTAAATGCACTACTTCCATGCAAGATATGATTCAGCACCTTGGAGAGATCCTGGGGGATATGTACCACAAGCCAGAATGAATCTACCACGTCACGGATATGGAAGTCGTCAGCCATCACTGTATGTTGCAAATGTCATGTCTTTAAAGTGAATCAAAAGTGTATATGTTGATACTTCATTGGCCATGTGCCCAACACAGCACATTCTGAACACTCATTTCACATATTGTTTGCTATGTTTGTAGTGAAACTCTGAGAGAACGGCCTGCAAATGTTTGGTAAATACTTCAAGTAGCAAAGACATGTACTCTTTTACACGACACATTGTGACCTTAGTTTCTCATTTACGCTTCTAAATTTTCTCTAAAACAACATCCTGCCAACACCAGTTTAATATTAGCAAATATACTGTTTTGCTTTTAGCACATATTCTAAAAAGAATGTTTATCTACTGGTGCAGTTTTTAAGAAAACGGAAATAGTATCTCATGAAACTGAGTCTAAGGATTAAGCAGAGGCGATGCTGCAGATCACTCAGTCCATACAGGCTGCTTCTCAGATAGCTTGAACAAGGACATCCATAATTCCCAGCCAGCATGCTAGCTAGGGATGTTGGGCATTGAAGGACTTGGAGTTGGAAAACTATAACATGACTGTATTCTCTAGTTTATGTGAGTACAGTTTTTATAGGACTATGTAGATGAATTGTGAAGTGAAATTGATGTATTTCCAAAAGATCTAGTGATGACTACCACGTGGATGGCTTTCAAAGGAATTGGACAACTTCATGGGGGGGGGGGGATAAAGCTATCTATACTACCACATGATTTATACATATTTAATGTGGTACGAGAGGCAATATGCCCCTGCATACGAATTGCTAGGGAGTATGAGCAGAAAGTTACAGATTAATTGAAGGCTTCATCCAGTTGGCTTAATTTTCCAGGGTTCCATAGCATATGGCCTGACTCTATAATCACATCCTATTCTGATGTTAAAAAATGGAGGTAAAAATAAAAATGTGAGCAAGGGAAGCAGTCTACCATCACTACTCTCTGACATCATATAAAGGGCAACTTTGAGAAGATGAAAGTCTCCTGCCTCTGTCAAAACTCAATTCAGAACTCTAGAATATCAGTATTCTTGGTCATATAGAGCGCTTATACAGAACCTCATCCCATAAAGGAGGGGGAGTGGGGGGAGTTGTCTTCCTACGGAGCCCATCAAGCGATGCAGGACTGCTTCCTGTGGCTGCCCGTGGTATCTTTAAAGTTTATAGAAATGGAAAAACTGTGAAGTCAGGGAGGAATTGACCCAGCACGCATAAGTGATTAAAAACGATGTTTTAAGGTGGGATGGGAACAACTGTTAAGTTCTCCCTTTGAAAACAGAAAGTCACTGGACACCACACCAAGAAGATGATTCCTTGTGCTTCCCCACTTCCCTGTCCCCTTGTGGGATGATGTCCACAGACATTCACTCTCCATGTCAAGAAAGAAGAGTTAAGACTGGGATAGAACTAGATACTCTTCCTCCTTGCATGGTTGTTTGATCTGTTTTTCCCCCATTTCAAAAATGCACTTTCTACCTTTACAATGAACTGATGGAATGGGGTAGAGGATAATAAAAGATGTCTTTTCAGGCTAAAATTTTTAGACATCCTCAACCAACATACCTTTCCCCATTTTTTTCAAAATTCTGGATAGGGCTAGCATTCTTTCCCTTCTTGTGTTTTATTCTGCACAATTTCATAAGACCTGTAGAGGGATAATGTGTGGAGCAGACCACATTGCACTTTGGCTTTCCCATAAAGTTAAGGTGTCCTTTCAAGTAGCCTGGCTGTATAAACATCAAAAGTAATGCCTGCATGCCTTTTGGTTTTGTTGTGCGGTGCATCAGACAATGCTTCCACCATCAGTATACACTGATTACTTTTTATCTATACTGACCAATTTGACAAACGATGACTATATGAGCACAAAATGCACCATCCTACCAGTAGAACAGTGTCCAAGGAAATTAGTATCCTTTTCCAGGAACACTGTCCATCTTTCTATGCAGGCAGCATAATACCAAAAGAAAAATGTGATAGTTGTCATTTCGATATTGTTTTAAGCCAGGCCTTGGAAGGTTTAGACTATTTTGCCATGCCTGGGCCTATGGAGGCCAGCTACAGCCAATTTGTAAAAGCTCCATCTCAACATTAACCCAAAACTTTTCCCTCATTTTCTTCTCCATCAATTTTACTCCTAAATAAATTATTCATATTTAATCTTTGTAAATTATAATTTGTTTTCCATTTATTCCAGCACCTGTTCATAATGCACTAGATGAAGAAAATGATATGGTCATCAATTATCTCTGAAGTCTTTTTATGGTTGCATTGCATTACAAGATGGCTGTAAAACACTGCATGCACACAGAGATACGTAAAGAGAGAGAGAGAGAACTATTCTTGTTATTTTACAGCTTCCTCTTATTTTCAGTGCACCTCAGATTAGCAAATACTTCAAACGCTGTTGCTGCTTTTGCACCAGCTCCCCATCTTCTTTTTAAATCAGAATGTCTAAGTTAAAACTGGAGATAAACCTTTGTGGAAATTCCTTTGGAGAATGTTATGTGAGTTTGGAGAGCCATATAATTATGGCTTCCTCCTTACCAGATTTGGGGGAACGAATAAGGATGGGCATCTCTATTCATTTTCTGTTGGTGAGTTTCCTGGTGACACTTGTATGCTGCTTCCAGAAGCTTGGAGTAGAGTGGGAAGAAATGGTCTGTTTAGCAAGGTGGGTTACTCTACTATTTCTGGGGCTTTGGTTCCCAGCAGCATGAAGAACACTACAAGTGGCAATATGTATTGCAAAAGCCATGCAAGAACAAAAAGATTAAATACATTGATGTAAGGGCACAGAAGGAACCAGGCTGATTCAGACTAGAGGCCCATCTACTCTATCACTTTGTTCACACTGCAGCCAACTGGATGAAGCCTTCAATTAATCTGTAACTTTCTGCTCATACTCCCTAGCAATTCGTATGCAGGGGCATATTGCCTCTCGTACCACATTAAATATGTATAAATCAGAATAGGATGTGATTATAGAGTCAGGCCATATGCTATGGAACCCTGGAAAATTAAGGTTCAAAATTGTATAGAATACCTTCATGAAGCAAGCAAACTCTGCTCTTTAGAAAATAATCTTGCATGTGTGAAGTGCTATAGAAACAATGGCAAGGGGGGAGAGAGGCACCAGCTTTGTTTACTCTACATGATTTTGTAATATCTAAACACTGCTACTGATTCCTTCTGCACTATATATGCATATGAGCTTTTTTGATGAGCAGAAAACAGCATTTTTATGCATGAAACTTAAGCCCAGATATTTCCTGTGCATGACATGCTGCTTTCAGTGTGTGCACATGCGCACATCCAAAGACATGTTAATTTTGCAAAGAACAAGTCCCTAATTAGTTCAGGATGCTCCTTATCAGGGTGTCTTGATGCTTGAGAAACACATTCTCAAACATTT